AGGAAAACCTTGCAGGCTATGGCAAGGGGAGCTCCATTTTGATTGAACCAAGGCTGCAGTCCCAACAAATCTGAAACTGAGACTTACTACCAGGCTTGGGGTAGAGAATGAAAAAACTGCAAAACTTCATCCTGATAGAATTAGGCAGGTGGTTTCTTATCTGAGCAGACAGGAAGATAATTCTTGTTTTTTCATTTATTTTACTGCATCTCTTGGGCAGAATGGCAGCTTACACAATACAAATTATGCCAGTTATGGAATACAGAGTTGTCATTTCTGTAAAAAAATCCCTTGCAAAAGGTGCAGGGACAGTTTGGGTGGACAGCCACAAAGGCACCCTGCTGTGGCCACCCTCCATCAGCCCAGCTGCCTTGTCCTTGTCTGGGTTGCTGCTATTCCCAGCTACATGTAGCAGACAGCACCACCCGCTAGAGCATGTGTGGTAATACCAATTTATAGTCTGTTATTATTTTTCTGCTTTGGGGTGAAAACTGGAATCTCCCAGCTCTGTTTTCCTGCTAGCAAGACAAAAATTAGCCATAGCATAATAACATTGTCAATATAGTTTACTAAAGTGTGATTATTCAAAAGAGCACATGGGAAACAAAGCATGGAAAGGCAGAAGGTAATGATTGACTGTAGCCACAAGGCAAAAGGATCTAGAAAGCAGATTTGCAGCATGCAAGAGAAAAATTCAGACTTTTAAAAGGATCAGAGCTTTCATAATTTCATGATCAGAGTACTTCTTAATAGGACACGGCAACTGCTCCTGTAAAAGGACTTGCTGGAAAATGGTCCTTGGAAAGTATTATCTAGATTTGTGAGTGGTAATTAGATCTGTATTGGACTTTCAATAACATTACCTTAAATAAACTGCCTTGGTTTGCATAAAATAATTTCTCTTAAAACACAATTCAGAGTAAATTTTCCAACTGTAGTTCTCAAAGAACAGTCCTGGCAGGATACACAGTGAGGTTGTCATATTTTTTTTTATCTTATTGTCCAGAAAGTGTTTCATAGTGAATCTGTAGCTCAGGAAGAATTTTACATTTATGTTTTATGACATCAATATTATATAGAAAGAATATTGGGATAGATAATAGGAAGGGTAAAAAAAGCCTGGAAAAAGGATTGTGTGCCTGAAAGCATCTTTTGGCTTTGTTTTTCCTTCCACCTCACCAGTTTAATAAACACTTTGCCTTGTTTGTGTCCTTTGACTGCCATGGTGACAGCACTAATATCATAGCACAGACTGCTCCCATGGCTCACCAGCCTTGTGAATCCATGCAGAAGGGAAAGGAATGAAACCAGACCTTATCTTGTGTCCTCGGGCAGCTGATGCTCCGGTATCCTGACCTGGGATGCAGAAATTGTGGTCCCCTTCTTCACCTTGGCACAAACTTTCTGCACCTTTCACCTTCTTTCACCTTCAGGTGAAAAGCAGATATGCTGCAGACCCCAACAGAGTGGCTGTGGGGGTGAACATGTTCAGGGACACATGGTTCTTTGTCACTCTGGTAATACTATGTGTCCTCATTGTATTAATGCCACAGACAGGATGAGGTGATAGAGTCTTAGTCACACTCCTGATTATACTTTGTAACTTTATTTTTATTTTTACTTTTTTAATGTTGTATTAAGACAAGTTGTTTAAAGACAGCTTGTAAAGTTTCCATATACAGCATTCAATTCAGAAACTACGCAGTGAATTACCTTAATAAAAGCTTCATTTGTACATGAAATTTGCTTTATCAGCAAACACAAACCCTTCATTCCTCTATAGCTCATTGGAATGAAACGGGCACAACGTTAACTTAGGGAATTGAGTCTGAAACGTCCGGAGGAGGGGCTGCTCTGGGAACCGCGGGCGGGTGGTGGCAGACACAGGACCGGGATGCCACCTCGTGGCGTGTTCCCACAATAGTTATATCAATAGGCAAAGGCTCGTTGCCTTGGGGAGGATACCACGGAGTTGCACTTGTTTATGTCCACAATAAAACAGACAAAAAGGCGATAAGTGGCCAGGAGAATGTCCTGGGAACAGAATAAATCTAACGACTGCATGACTCTAACCCCTTCAAACAGAAGCGAAATGTGATGGCAATTAGAAAATATGCCTATTAAAAAAAATTGGGAACTTCCATTTTCTAAAGAATTGCTGGTTGTAAAACTCGTGCAAAATTTTATGTTCACTCACAACCAAGATACTTCTTATATGATTGGAAAAAACTTACAAAGTGGAACTAATGCAGGGCTATAACTTAAAGGAGGCAGCAAGAAAGAAAAATTGACTCAACTGCTGGTTTAAGTTGAACTACAGTTAAGGTATTGCCTTCCTTATCATTCTTACTTCTTCTGCAGTTCGTTTCCATACACCTTTGCTGTGACATGGAAAGCACTTGGTCACCCTTATAATGAAGAACAGAAATGAAAGTGAAAATACTTATTAATAATCTTTTATTTGTTTGAAATACCTCTGCTCTAGCCAGATGACTTTTGTCATTTGCTTTTGATTGCACTGCCAGTCCTGGGTAAAACAGCCCACCTTTTCTGGGGCTTCAGCATGCCAGCATCATGAGTTACTTTTTATGTAAACCAAAAATATCAACAAAAGCTCCAGGGAGGATAGTTCTTCTACCAGTTAAAAACAAGTACCCAGTTTCTTCCTTCCATCACTAAGATCCAGGAACAAGGAATCAGAAACTGTTCAAAACATGCTCAAGGTGAATATTGATCTGGGCTCTTTACATCCCAGACCAGGACGTCTTTAGTGATAGTGGGATCTGAAGTGTAAGGACATCAAGCCAAGAGGACTGGTGCCTACTCTTTGTTGGGTGAATAATTGCTGTCTATGCAAGGGCAAGTTTCAAGTCTGGCATTGGACTGAAAAGGGATTTGGAAGGCCATTTGATAGCTTCTTCAGAGATTATGCAGCATTCCTAACAAAATATTGGAAACTACACATTCTTTGTGTGCAAGAGCTATTCTGGCATTTTTTACATGTTTCTAAAATCTTACATGTGATTATTTTTTCTCAGGTGACTCTACAGCTGGACTTACACTGCAAAGAGCATGGAAATGTCCTACTACAAAATTAGTTAAAGCAAAAGGAAATGCTTATTTTGTTCCTATTCTGTAAAACCATATATATGCCTTTTCTGGAATGGTAGTCAACACCTGAAATTCATTTTAGCTGCTTCTAAAATTGCCCATCATTTTCTGACAAAGAAAGCAGCAACTTCTTCCACCAAATTGGTAAGGCATTTCACTGAGATCAAAGAGGGAGAGAAGAATCTCAGAGCCCTACACAGTTCTAATTAACAGGTAAACTGTTAATTATAGGGGAATGTGCAGGATAAAATCATATAATTGTGACTTGCAGGATCTTAGGAGATCCACTGAGCCATTCCCCTTGCCCAGTCTGAGAGACTTGATAACTTGTCCAGCCCACTCTTAAGAACCTCCAGCCACAGGAATGCAATAATTCCTTGGGTGGCAACCTGTGGACCTGGTGCTTAACTATAATTTGGTGGCACCTTTTCTTTATATCTAAAGGGTGACAATAGCCCTTTTGACTGTTTGCTTTTTGCCTTAGAGCAGAGATGATCCCTTCCCTTTGAACCTCCTTGAAGCTTCTTTTTAATAAAAAAAATATAGTGGAGGACCTTTCCCAGGATACACTCCTGTCTGCAGTGGAGGGCAGCCTAGGCTCTGGCACGCCCTAGGAAGGGTAGCCAAAGCCATTATTTCCAGTGGTGCTTTTGTCTCAGGCACCACCAAGGAGACACTGGCGCTATCCTCTAGGCACCTCACTTCAGGTACTTGTAGACATTGATGAGGTCCCCTCTCAGCTGAATCGTTCAAGGCTGAACAGGCCCAGTTTCCTCATCCTTTCCTCATAAGAGAGATGCTCCAGCCCCTACTGGGTCCCTATTGCCACTGTTCAAAGATTCATGATAGCACTAAGTGACCATTCATCTGTTGGGGGAAAAGGAAGGTGTGGGAGCACCCCAAGCTGTTAGAGAAGCCAAAAAAACAAAAAAAAAACCCCCATAAGTTATATTCTTTCTAACTGCATGTGGCCCTCTAGGCAGGCCTCTACTGACTTCTAGAATCCCTGTGAGTGGGCATGGGCTGTCTAAAGGCAGTGCTGTGACTGAAAGATTTCTAGACAGATGCTACACCTGGCAAAGCTTCCCCTGCCCACCAGCACAGGGCGCTGAGACTTTTTGCACTACCTTCGTGCACGATTCCTCCAAGCTCTCAGGTGTGTCTTAAAACTCCCGCGCCTCAGGCTCGCAGAGCAGCCAGCCGATGGTCCAGAATTGTGAGAGCAGAAGTAGAGGGCCGGGGAGATCCTAAAGTAAAACAGAGATAAAGGAGGCAAAGGTAACCGGCAGAGCAGACGGCCGATGGTTCACAATTGTGAGAGCAGAAATAGAGGGCCGGGGAGAATGCTAAAGCAAAACAGAGATGAAGGAAAGGTTAAAAAATGAGTCTTCCCTGACCGGGAATCGAACCCGGGCCGCGGCGGTGAGAGCGCCGAATCCTAACCACTAGACCACCAGGGATCCTTGCTTTTGCTGGCCCACTTCTTTGTAATGAAGAAATGACAGAGCACGTTCCTTCCCTCTCTTGATTGTGTTGGGCTGCTTTCTCCTTATGCTCCCACTTTCCATGCAGTACCAAGTCCTGGAAACAGCTACGTGTGGAGAAGGACGTTGTATTCCACCCCACGGAAGAGACTAGCGGCAACAGGCTGGGGAGGAGAGGGGGCCGCCCAGGCGAGGCTGGTGAAGGGCCCCCGCCGTGGGCGGGAGGCAGGATGGCGGTGGGGGAGCTGGCAGGACGGAACCTCGATCGGGAAGGAGCGGCCAGCCCGGTGGTGCCGCAGCGGGAGCGGGGGTGGCTCCGACAGCGCCACAGGCAAGAGCTGCGCGGCCGCGGCAGTGCCGGGGGGGGGGCTCGCAGGAGGGCGCCGGGGCTCCCTCTCAGCTTCCGCCAGCGCGCTTCCCGCCGCCCCCAGAAGGCGCGGGCTTCGCCCGGTTGTTTTCCTTCATTTCGTGTTGCCTTTACAAGCCGGTCTGACACCATCGTCTCTGCACGGGGCGTCGCTGTCACGGCTGCAGGCGGGGCCTCGGCAGCTGAGCGCTCTGCCCGCACATCCCGGGCGGCGGCCGGAGGGGAGGAACGCGGCGCTTCCCCCGCGCCCACTCGGTCTCTGCACGAGCAGCCTGTGGGAACAGCTCGGCTTGTCCGGGTTCCGGGGCTAGGCCCGGGGCGAGAGCGGGTCCAAAGGCCTCTCTAAGGTGGGAGCCAGGGGCTCCACAGAGGGGATCGAGGTCCCTTGTTTGCTGGCCTTGTGCTGCCGCGGCCTCCTCACACGATAGATATTAATTTGTGACCTTGTTTCTTTTTGTAAGGTTTGTGTGAGCGGAACGAAAACGGCCAGTGCTGTGGATGACCTACATAAAAGCTCTTTACTCTGGCGTGTTGTTTTCCTGAGCATAGAAGATCTGGGTTCTGCACAAGCAAATTTCGCTGGTTCTCAAGCCCTTTGCCTCTAAAATGCAAAAAACCTTTCTGTGTTAAGATAGATAAGCTTCAGACTGTGTGCTTGTGCACTGTGCAAATATGCATTAGCTGATCTTCAAAAGCTTTAGAGTCTGAAAACAAATTTAAGGGAATAATTTTCTTCTGGGAGGGGTAAGGAGGTTGAAGGTGTTTGGTTTACATCTGTTAAGCTGATGGTTCATTTAATCACAAGACATGTACTGTAGCAGTCTAGAACAAAATGTGTGTGTCTTGATTGTGAACCTTTCTTTGGTCTAGATTCAGCAATTTTACTGTGCAGTGAGAGAGATAACAAAATATGAGGTAAAAATCAAGCCCTCTTAGATATGATCTAATGTCTTCTATATGCAGGAGCAGCTTTTCACATGTGTAGGATCGACAGCATCCTCTGGTAAGATGAAGGCATTTCAGGCCTTGAGGAGCCAAAGCTGTGTGTCGCTGTAGGCTGAGGTATCACTGTGGCCTGAGGAGACTGCAAAGGAATGAGTCTGCTAAGGTGACAGAGGTCAGCTGGTCCCAGCAGGTAATCTGTGCCCATTGTTGAAGGGAAAGGCGAAGTCGGACCTGGTTTCCTAGAGTGGAAACTTCAAGGAACACCAGCTGGATATTGAGCCAGTTATACTGCAGAAACTGAGCTAGCCTTAAGAGTTTGTATACTCCACTCGCCCCACTGTGTTGTGTTCAATAGCATAGGCTTCTCCACTCTAGGTGCTTCTCAGGTGAGCTTTGGAGGGGTACTTACTTCTGTGGCTGTGATGTTTGCAGCGCTGGAGACAGCTAGGTTAGAACAAGGCTAGGCCCACAGCAGCTGCATTAGCAGGATTGAAGATACATGTTACAGAAGGGTCATTGCCACCCTTAAGAGTGTCTCTGTCATGTGACACCACGGAGGAAGGGAGGGGTGGGCCCCTTAGTTCTTAAGCTGCCTCAGTGGTGGAGACAAAATACTCTCCCTCACAATTTCAGAAAAGTAGCTGAGCCTATGAAAAATCTGATGGCAGGGGGGTCAAATGTATTTTGTCCATACCCTAGGTAGCTGTTAGATGTAGAAGCAAAGCAATCCTGCTCTATTGTGCTTGACAGTTAGCAAATCACCTTCCAAATGAGTAATATATCTTACTAAATTTTTCTTGAGCAGTGAAAGGTTTGTTGATTACAACTACAGGAGCAGTGAAAACTAAGTTATGTACAAGAGAAATCTACTGAAATAGCAAATCTTTTCCTTGATGTTAACCTCAGAGGTGAGGACTGACCGCTAGACCATCAGAAAAATAGCATTGAGAGTCATATGCTGCCTAGTTATTTTTAGAAAAGACTTTCTTTACTGTACAAGTCATGTGCACTGACAAAAGATTGTGCCTCTCCTCTGGCTTCCTGTATCCGATAGAGAAGTACATCAGTGAAACTTTCAGCGATTCAGCCTCCTGCCAGCACAGAAGCAGCCAGTGCTTGTGCCTGCATCCCTGAGATGGTAGCTGGAGAAGAATGATCTTCCCAAAAGCACCAGGAAAGGAATGTCAGAGGCCGATGTTTCTTTTCACTTGATGCTGGTATGCCTGTGAAACCAAGTGAGGAGCACTCAGTGTTAGAGATACTGGATCACGGCTGTCACAGTTTGGTAGGTAAGGCTGAATTTTGGAACCTGAAAAATCAGAGCGATTCCTTTAGATGCAAGTTGTACAGCAGCATGCAATTAACTTGTCTGTTCCATATGAATACATTACGTATTATTATTACTTTGACATGCTGATTGATGTGTGACAGTAGGCTTAAGATGTAAAAATGAGTAAGAATAACAACAAAGTAATATTCTAAGCTATGGAAAGTATATAATTTGAGTATGTATGTAATATATAATGGTAAGTACAAATTTTCTTTAGTACCTGGGGTACATGCGTCGGCTCTAGTGAAAACCCTTGATCTGCACAGAAACTGCATTTATCAGTCCTCTCTTTCCTCAACTATATGTTCCATGTGGAAAGTCTTGGTATCAGATTTTCTTCTGTAAGTTCACCTAACTTGTACATCATCCCAGTTTCAAGGAAGTGGAAAGGAGAGGGAAGGAAGAGATGATGCACAATCTTTTGCTATTTTATGTTTAATTTCCACATATGGTCAGATTGGTGACCTAACTGTTGGATTATAACAGTTTTATGGTGGAAAATGCTACTGTACTTTGTACTTTTTATATCTGTTTTGACCGCAGTAGTGCTTTGATGGAAAACCTGAAGAGGTGTTGTACAAACGTCGCAGCTGTTGCGGTAGTCCCAGCTCCAAGAGCACATTCCAGCTGTGCGGTGACTGGCTCCCTGTGCCTGCAGTGTGGCGCTCGCGGCGCCAGAGGACAGGCAGCGCCACGGCTCGGGGCTGGCAGGCCGCGGCAGTCCCAGTCCTGGGGGATATTGTAAGGATCCTGAAGAACGAGACGGGGAGCAACCAGCAATTGTTTACAGTACTTACTTTACAGAAGTACTTTAACACGTTCTTGTATTCTTTTTCTTCATCTTCCGTTCTTCCCCTGGCACTGCATTCGATATTGTAAAGCCTGGGCCAGCTTCTTTTCCCTTTTAGTGTTAAAATGCACGTGATTCTGGTGTTTGGGATAAAGTGTGGCGGTGAGGTGCTTCATCCAGTGTCCACTGAGCTACCTTAGTTGAAACAAATAGGACTTTTTTGTCATCTCCTTTTGTATCACAGCAAATTCCATTTATTTTATAGTCTTTCTTTGGTTGAGCATTTTGGAAGCTACATCTGGTTTGCTCCTCTAGACAGAGAAATAGGTGCACAGAAACAGTTATTAAGGGAGAACTTCTTATAAAAGTTTCAAGCTATGGTCGCTTTCTCATTTTGTAAAACTTGTGGAAAATTTCAATATCTCAGTCACACTGAGTTATATCTAGACGATCAATTCAAAGCTAAAGGGTGAGTCGGGGACTCTGAAAATTCATCATTACATAAACTGAAGAAACCAGGCTAAGAATAGCCCTCAGTGCAGTAGGATCAAGCAGAGCCTCAATTATGTATGCATAAAAGTCTGTCTGTATGAAACCTATTTTTTGACTACTTCATGGTGAATAATGGTAGGAGTAATAGGCAAAAACAGAAGGCCTGATAATGGAAAAAAAAGAGAAAGATTGTTGTCATCTTTATTTTTACATCTTTTCAAAACTGGACTGTTATAGCAGTCAAAGTTGGTCAGTGTAATTCTTCATGGCAAGTTGTCTTTCTTAAGTAAATGAGCTGTAAGCTAACAATTTCAGATATAAAAAAAGAAAAACTACATTAACTACACGAGCAATACAGTAGTTTTTTCTGCTATTAGTGTAAGCTGATCTGAATGTAGGCCATAAACATACTGTGCAATTTTTTCTCTTGGATGTATGTAACTCTGTTAATGTACACTGAAGTGGAAGATCAAAACCCATTCAAATGCAGTGTTTCTGTATCCCAAATCTGTTCTGTCTTTCATGTGTGGTTATACATGTGAGTTTCTGTGAGAAATACTTTTCTAGAATAAAAAAATGCACAATTTGGAAGTGATTAAAATAGCAAATTTACATTTTGTCTCCATCAAAAGAATGCAAACAGTGATAAAACAAATCTGCCCAATCCTGAAATCAACAAGCACCATGAATTTAAGATTTTCTCTGGTAAAGATATTCTAAGCGTTGATACCATAAAGACAATGAATCAAATGATGTTAGAGCATTTGTATTCAAATGAATTGGCAAGAAGCATATTGCCATGGGAAAGAGCAAACTATTCAGACTGTCTGCTATCCTCTATACTGTGGTGAGACTAAATTTTATTTCAAAGGTGATGTGTGTGTGTGTCTGATCTACCTGTTGTCTGCCTATCTCATGTTCATCGTTGCAACAGAAAGGCAGGCATTACTTAGTACTTCAGACTCAGTAAAATAAAAGGGTGTATGACGTCCCACTCACACAATGACTTCTTCCAATGACACGAAGTCTGTGGGTTGAGCCACAGGCAATAACCCACAGTGCTATAACCAGAACTAGTACAATGCTTCTATCCTAATCCTAGCCTGCTTATCCTGATGCTCTGACAGGAATTTGAACGATTTCTCCCTCATGCCAGCAGTCTAGAATATATATTTGATATGCTTAGGGCAACAGAAGTACTGTAGAAATGCGTGGTTTCTTTGCTCTATGGAGCTCATGCATTGTCTTCATAGCACTGAACAATAGGGGTGACTGTGCTTGGAATGATGATGGACAGGAAAGTGGTACATTAGGACAGGGATGGCTTTTCTGGAGCTAAAATAAGGTGTTAGTCACTGTCATGGTTGTGCAAGTGCAGGTAAGAGATAAATAGGGTTTCCACCACTTTGACGGATGGCAAAGGAGGTTGGATAAACAGTACTAATATTCTTCCTCTTTTTTTCTGAGTTTTGTTATCTAAGCACTTCTAGGAGAGTAACTGAGAGCAGGGCCCCTTTCTTCTATGTGGTGGTAGAGAACCCTTGTGCCAATGAAGTCTTTGAGATTTTAACCAAAGTAACTTTGGGTTTGTCCATCTTTTGTTGGAAAATAATAAGATGTACTAACTTCAGTGTGTTATCAGAATATATCCTTTAAGCAACAGACTATGTTTTAGAGAAAATCTGTCCCTTGTAGTAGAAACTGTTTTGATTTAAAAAAATCAGATGGAAACTTCAATTTTAGCTGAAAGTGCAGCAGCAAATTTAGTGGAGGAGTTGAGGCAGTTGCTGTTCCAGTAGTGACACTGAGCGATAGCAAACATATGCTACAAGTAGGATAATGGCAATGGTGAGAGATGGCTGTGATCGTACTGGAGATGCATTTGGTCCTGAAAATGACACATTTTTGAAATGAATCTTCTAAGCAGCTGTTAAATTAAAAAAATAAGCCTCTGACAAATCTCTTACTTAAAGGTCATTGGATTCATAACATTGTAACTTGTAAAAATATTATTCTTGAGACACCTGAGCTCCATTTGTGATTTTGACACACTCTTTTAGCATCTCTCTACATGTACACTTTGTGTCACATGTTCATTTATGCAAGTATCTGTCTATCTTCAGGCTTGAGATTTTGTCTTGCAGAATTTAGAATTTAATGGTGTTACAATGCCTTTGTTACAATGCCCGACAGACTGAAATCAGTCTTTCAGAGCTGATTACTAACCTAAGGAAGGAAAAAAGAAGCCAGATCTTGTTTAGGCTAGCCACAAATGTCTGGAAGGGTTACCTGCAGTTATCTCGGGTAAGGGAGTGGAGTTTCTGGTAAATACACAAGTGTTGTTTTCTGGGGATTGGGTGGAGAAGCCTACTGGTGGACAGTGTAGAATCAACAGATGAGGTTTCTACGCTTTTCAGTTTCCCACGGATCTAAAGGCTTTGGTTAACCTCAATTTCCAAAACGGGCTGTTTTGTTTTTAGCACCGCCCTTGAGAGAACTCTGCTCCAGAGGAAGACCCCGGCGCTTGGGCTTTATGACTCGTAGTACTTCTTGCTCCGCAGACCGACCCCTTTGCCTAGGACAGGGCTTGAAGCCCGTGAAGCGCCCTAGCAGCGCGGCCCCCCTCGGTCCCGGGGTCACGGCGATCCGGCGGGGCCGGGACGGCCGGGCGGGGCCGAGGGGAGGCGGGGCCGCCGGGCGGGCGGAGCCGCGGGGCGCGGCGGGGCCGGCGCCGCTGTGGCCGAGCGGAGAGCGGCGGGAGCGGCGGAGGCAGCGGCGCTCCCGCAGAGCGCTCGGGGCGCAGCGCCGGGCCGGGCCGGGCCCGCCATGCCGCCCGCCCGCAGGTCTGTGTGTGCGCCGGGCCGCGGGGCGGGCGGGGCTGCTCGGGCGCGGCCTTGTGTGCTGGCCAGGGGACGCGGAGCCCGGCGGGGCGGGGCCGCGGCCGTGGTGGCAGAGGAGCTCTTCGGCCCGGCAGCGCAGCCCGGGATGCGCGGCGCGGCCCCGCGGGCGCGGTGTGTCCGTGCGGGCGCGGTCGGGGCGCGGGGCGGCTCCGGGGACCTGCCCGCCCGCCCAGGGTGCTGCTCCCGGGCAGCCGGGGTGTGCTCTGCTGCTGCCGCTACCCGGCCAGTGTAGCCGAGATGGCATTCGCGGCTTTGAACCTCATTTATTTCCCACCGTCAGGGTCTTGGATAAATTACTGGAATGTTCCAGGCTCTCTCTCTATATATTAATTTGTATAGCCTTTGGTTGTCATGATTGCGAAGTGCTGCCGGTTTCCAAAGGTGTGCCAGTAATTTATTTTTGTGTCTTTAATCAGTGCAGTGGACTTTCCTCTCTGTCCTTCATCATACACTGCTTCAGAGTTGGTTTACGGGTGGAGTGGCATACTTGTATCTTGGGTGATGTGTGTGCAATATCGTGGTGCTAAACGATGCAGTAACTGTTTATGCCCGAGATGATGAACGCTTCGACTCAGTAACAGGCTTTTAGCATGTGTTTACTTTACATGCTACAATTACTGTTCTCCATTAGGTAGTCATACATTTCTTGTATTAATGCGCAGTGGTGGGTATTAATGCGCAGTAGTGGACTTTTAAGATGGGTAGGTGCCCATTAATCGATTATGGTTTGCTTAAAATGCTATGACCCAGCCTAAGGGCCTGTGCTTGTGTGATACT